AATCTTTTTTTGTTTGGTGTGGCGGGGGTGGGGGTGGGGGTCGTGTGTGTGTGTGTATATGTGTGTGTGTGTGTGTGTGTGTGTTTTGGGGGTGGTGCTGTATCAGTACATTTTTTCCCCAGAAAAATATAAAGAAGTGAAAAAAATTGAAATGATTGTCCTCATTTCCAGGGAAATTATATCCAACACACAATTGAATTAGGTTTTATAATTCTTGTTCTCACCTTCGGGAAAACCCTAACATGTATTAACATTAAAACAAACAAACAAGCCCGGAAATAATAACAATACATGGATGACTCCAAAAGCATTAAAGAATAATGAAGATTTTTATTTAAAATGTGTGGGGTTATATCCCACAGCAAACCTTTCTTAAAGACTTTTAAGAGCATATCTTTCCACTCCTCTCTTAGTTACCTTCATTTCTCTCTCTCTCTCTCTCTCTCTCTCTCTCTCTCTCTCTCTCTCTCTCTCTCTCTCCTTTACCCTTCCCCTCCCCACATCCATCATTTTACCCTTGTATCTTTTTCTTGGAAAACCGGAGAGTCCTCCTCAAGGCTTATACATTTCTTATGTAACGCAATTTATTACATTCTCAGCTTCTCTAATTTCAGCTCCACCCATTAACAACAAAATAGTTCTCTTTTGGAAAAAATCAACCTTCCTGAGAAGTTGGGGGATAGCAGAAAATGGAAAACACTCAAATTTTAATATTTTCTGATCTGCTTGGCTTTTCTGGGATGTGTATTTGACAGTATGGCCTGGAGCACTTTGGTAACAAATTCTATGGGGAATGTGGGGACTGACAAGAAACCAATTAATGGACTAGTTTGCTTCTTAGGCAAACCTGGAAGACTCCCAAATTCCTATGAACACTATCCTAGGAAAAATAAGGTAAAAATAAATTTCCGAGGATTACATGCTAGTGAAAGTAGGAGAAATATTTAGAAAGCTTTGTGTGAAATGCATATTCTAGGAGTTATAGGATTAATAATATAGTGGTGTTGAATCATGAATATGCCTAACTTCCATAAATTCTACACACAGGTAATAAAGATAATGAAAAAATAATTTAACTTGTGTAGGGGCATTACTCTCCAACCCCACTCAAGACACAGAACTCCTGATAGAGCAGAGATGGCAAATGAGAATTGGTTGTGCCTTCAGTTGATTACAGCATAAACATTTTTTGGTTGTTGTGTGTGGGGTTTTTTGTTGTTGTTGTTTGTTTTGTGTGTGTGTGTGTGTGTGTGTGTGTGTGTGTGTGTTTTGGGTGGGGGTGCTGTATCAGTACATTTTCCCCCCAGAAAGATGTAAAGAAGTGAAAAAAATTGAAAAGAAAACAAACAAAAAGGATATTTTTTGCAGATAATCTGTCTTCATGGAAAATCTAGGAGAATTTCACATGTATGAAATTGGTACGTGTATTAGTTATTTAGCATCAGTTAAAATTTAGCAGTTTAAAAGAACAAACATTTGTTATCTCACACACTTCCAGAGGGTGAGAAATTCAGCAGTGACGTTTTGGGGTCTCTCGTGAGCTTGCAGGAAGTTTCCGGCCAGGGCTGCATTCATGTGAACAGAGGAAAACCCATTTCCAAGCTCACTCACATGGCTGTTGGCAAGGGGATTCAGTTCTTCCCTGTGTGGGCTGCTCACACAACATGGCAGCTGGCTTCCCCCAGAGTGAGAGGGATCTCAGAAAGCCAGAGCAGTAGGAGGAAAGCCCAAGATGGAAGCCACAATCTTCTTATAATAACCTAACCTTGAAAATTACTTACTCTTCCTACTTCTCTATCCCATTTATTCATTCGAAGTGAGTCACAGTATCCAGCTCGCACTAAAGGGGAAGGAATTACACAAGGACATGAGCACGGGGAGGCAGGGACTGCTGGAGGCCCTCTGAAAGGCTGCGAGAGGAGATGACACTCTAACGTGGTTTCTAATGCCATGGGCCTGTAGGGAGTGCCCTGGGTCACAGGAAGTTAAGTGAAGAGAAGATGAATATGACCTGAGCTACAAGAAACACCAACATTTGTAAATTGAAAATGGAGCGACAGCAACCAGAAAGGACTAGCCAGAGAAGTGAGAAGTCAACTAAGTAGCATGCAGGGTTCAAAAGACAGCAGTCACTAGAAAAGTTAAAGGACAGGATTCCACGTCCAGCTATGACAAAGCAGCTAGTATCACCCAAATCGCTCAATGAAACGAACTATGAGAATTGGAGAAAATTGAGAAACAATTGTTCTAAAGCATTGGAAACTGACCTATGTAGGCAGGATTGAGGGCCCAAGGTCTAAGTCAATGAAATCATTTCTGGTGGAAGATAAATCACCTTAAGCCTCTGAAGTGTTTCATGTTCAATGTCTGGCATTCAATTTGAAAAATTACCAGATTTGCCAGAACATAAAGGACCAAATGACTAACAACAGGGCAAAAAGCAAAGAAAAGATAATAGAAAGAGATTCAAAGGTGATACTTATATAGGAGTTAAAAACTACATTTAGGGTAACTATGACTAATATGTTTGAAATAATAGATAAAAATAATAAATTTCATCAGAGAATTGGAATCTGTAAAAATAAATAATGTTTATGAAAGTCCAGTGGAAATCCTAGAACTAAAAAACTCAAAAACTGAAATTCAGAATTCAATAAATGATTAGACGGAATAGATTAGATTGAGCAGGCCACACAGAATAGGAGAAAGAGCAAACTGGAAGCAGAAAATATCCACACTGAAGTACATAGAGAAAAACGGTAAAAGGTACAGACAAGAACACGAGACAGAGGAGTAGAAGGGAAAGGTCTGAGCTATGTGTAAGCCGGGGTCCCAGGAAGAGAGAACAGGGCAGAAGCTCTGAATGAAGGGACAGTGATGGGCAATTTGACAAAACCGTTGAAACACTTCAAGCCACAGATTCAAGACCCTCTTTGAACCCTAATGTACAGTCTCCTTCAGATCTTCAATTATCTAAATTCTTGGAGGTTATAGTATTTCCTTTTCCTACATCTACTGTGCTGCTTATGGTGGGTTATTTTCTGTGTATTTCATAACATCTCCCCTATGGACACTGCATACAGTCTCTGCGTGGTTTCTTAGCGGGTTATCTGTTCTGTGGTTAATGCTTTTTCAAGTTGTACTTTTATGGGGGTAATTTCTGTGTGCTGTGATTTTTACTTGTGTTTCTGATGAGTCCAAGGACACTCGCTATTTTGCAATGGTCAGTTCTTCTCCTTGAGGTTCCTCACTATGCATATAGTGTTAAACAGAAAGCTTGGTGATGTTTCCGTTGTTGAGATGTTCATGGGAGCCTTGATTACCACTTACAATCCCTTGTGGGCAGACTAAGTTTTTCTTGTCTCCATCTTACTGACAAGGGAAGAATGCAAAACTTATTCTGAATCTGGCCTTGTGACAGCCTGAGGTAGCATTTCTGGCATCATCCTGGGTTTTGACTACCAGCCCCCAATTCTGAGAGCGTGTAACTAGATCCAAATCCTCCAAAGGCCACAGGACATCAGCTACTGTTTGCAGTTTGAGTTCCCAATTTGTAACTGGAAAGTGAGAACCTTTCTTCTCTTTAAGTTCAGCTATGTAATTGAAATATTTTAAAAATATTTTTAAAGCACTTCTATTCGCTTGTACCAGAAAGTATGCCTGTCCGTAGCAGCTTATTCAGCCATGCTGCCAGAAGTCCTATATGATCAGGGACCCAAGAAGAAGAAATTTTACTGCACTGTTTAGAAAAATATTTTAAAAATATTTTTAAAGCACTTCTATTTGCTTGTACCAGAAAGTAGACCTGTCCGTAGCAGCTTATGCGGCCACGCTGCCAGAAGTCCTATATGATCAGGGACGCAAGAAGAAGAAATTTTACTGCATTGGTTAAAGAAATGACTAAATACCTGGCCAAAATATACTTAAGAACAGAAACAAAGTTTTTGTGTTTGCAGTAAGATATAGGGTGTCCCAAATTCACGCAAGATTTGCAATTCTTGTGTGAATTTTGGGACACCCTATATAAGAAAGGGATCTTGAGGTAGAGGCTCCTAAAAAGTAAACTGTATCAAATACTTTTGTATTCCCCCCCCCCAAAGATACAGAGTACTTATTTTTAATACGCTAATACTGCAGAAAAAAACAATTTTCAATCCCAATCCCCTTTGATATTTTTTAACTTTTTATTTTTGAAATTTTTCAAATATACAGAGCTGTGCCAAATAACTCTTTTATACCATTAGCCTTTACCCTGATTCAACCTTTTGCCACATTTTGTTTCTCTCCTATAGAAAGAGATGAGTAGGCAGGTAAGTAGATAGATGGATAATGATCTGCTTAGATACAGATAGATTTATATCCTAAGACTAAGAACATTTTCTTGCATGACGACAGGACAGTTAGCAAATTAAATGTTGATACATTACTATTACCTAACATATGTCTAACATCTAAATGACACCATCAGTTTGTGCCATATTAACAATGCTAACGTTGATCCCGTGGTGAAGGTTACGCTCTCAAGTTTCTCCACAGTACAGCTAGTATGTCTTCCTTTGAAATTAATAATCGGTGGAGAACTATTTTGAAAGTGTGTAAATAGCCTATTACCTGTCAAACTTTTACCCAACAGTTATAGCATCCATTGATAATATTTACTGGAATCAAGCTTTATTATGAGGGTTGTAAATGATGATTTGCTAACTCTGTTTTTATTCTTCTACATTTATTAGCTGATATTCTACTGTCATAGATAGTTGTCTCATCTTCCTTTTAAAAATATTTTTATTTAATTAGTCTCACTATGGAGTCATAGATTTTTATTTTATTTAACAAGTTAAAATCCATTACTGCCATTATTCATTTTGGTGCTTACACTGCTCCATATTGAGTGAGAGTATCTTTTAATATTTAAAACAATGAGTCATTGGCAATGGGTTCCAATTGAATGCAGGAAGTAGTACTTGGTACATATTTTGGGGCAGCCAGAGAGTCCACTATCTAATGAGCATCCATGTCTCACAGATAAGTTCTGTCTTCCTCATTGCACACAGGTAACTCACAAAGGTGAGCCTTTTTCTTTCTATTCTCTACTGTAATTCTGCCTCTCTTTTAACATCAAAGAGATCTCGGCATAATGAGAATAATTGATCCAAACAGCATCATGGAATGATACACAGATCACAGGTCACTGAATCATGTGATGGCCCTTCTTGACCAACGAGAAAGTAGGAAAGACGATGCTGAGAAAGACCAGATTGGAAAATCTTTACACATCAGAAAAAAGAAATCATATTTTTCTTCATCTTAAAAATATTTAACCAGAAAAACATGATGCTCCAATTTTAGACTAATATTTATTTAGAAAAATAAACTAGAAAAAGGTCCAGGACTGGGACACAGCACCTCGGCATAGTATGAAAGAGGACATACAGCAGAGGGACTTCAAATTTGCTCAGTTCACTCTCCTACAAATAACAAAGCCTCCTCCTCTGACACCATGGTCAGCTCCTGTGTGGCTCTGGCTGCTCTGACCAGGGCTGTGGCCAAGGCCGCTGCCAGACCACCTGCTGCAGGACCACCTGCTGCCACCCCAGCTGCCACCCCTCCTGCTGTGGCTCCAGCTGCTGTCGCCCCTGCTGCTGCCTCCACTCAGTCTGTGGCCAGGTCTCCTGATGCACCACTTGCTATTGCCCCAATGTATCATCTCCACCTGCCCCACCCCCTGAGCTGTGCCTCCTCTTGCTCTGTAACCACTGTCTCCATTTACCTCTGTCCTCACAGATGTAGGCCCTCCTTTTGTGTGGACTGTTAGGGCACATGGAGTGGGGCTGATGTCGCTCAACTGAACTGGGCGTCATAATTCCAATGAGGCACCAGGTCCTGGGACTGAAGATGGATATGGCCTGGAGCTGCTGGCTATTGTCAAATCTTCCTGAGGAAAGTGGAAGCGTGCCTGTTTTTACACAGTCTCACTATCAGAGAATGTTGTCGAATTTTGAATTTTTGACAATCTAACAGGTGAGAGGTGGTCTGCCATATTTTCAAACTGTTTTAAATCAAATAGATTCAATAAGAAAAAACAGATAGGAACTTTGCTTCGATCCTTCATACCTCACTGACAATCCAGGAAATGCACAGGAATCACAGTATTCTTAATTGCAGACAAGTAACTGCCCCCCCTTTCCAAGATGGGTCTTCCGCCTACTTTACTACCAGAATCTGATATGACTTACTCTTTGACAGCAGAGATTTAGCACCATAAACCCATTCTCAACATATTATTCTGGAGTCAAACAGAGAAATGAAAAATTAACCCTTGCGAAATCCAATGAAGTGGTGTCATGTAATGGGTCTACTTGAGAAAACACATGGGACAGAGAAATATGGGCGCTGACTCACCTGCATTAACCAAACTGGACAGCTCGTTATACTACAGGAAAAGGAAATGGTGCCGTTCCTATAAATAGGAACATTTACCAGATAAACACAATTATCTAATTTACTAAAACTAACTGATTTTCAACGAGGATAAACAAGAACAAGAAGGGGCCTGCACATGGTCACCGCAGCCCTCAGCAGGGTATAAAAGCAACAGAGGGAGAGGAGAGATCTCACTCAAGAACCTCACTCTCCTGGAAACTCACCCAGAACCTCCACCCTCCAACACCATGTCCTGTTGTGGCTCCGTCTGCTCTGACCAGGGCTGTGGCCGAGGCTGCTGCCAGACCACCTGCTGCCGTCCCAGCTGCTGTGGTTCCTGCT